ACAAACTCCCACCCTCCATGTCCCACGTCATCAGCGCTTTCGTTGATGACCACAGCTTGGAGCAGCTAGCCCAAATGGCGGATAAGATACACGAAACATACCCCAGTAACCCCATAAACCCCGTCTCCCGCCCTGCGCCTACTACAGATTCCGACCGGCTTTTTGCTTTTATATCGCATCTACAAGCCAAATTTGATGCTTTGACCGATCGCCTACAACGGTTAGAGATCAACGGACACCGACCATGTTCACGATCCAGATCGTTATCTCGTGCCCGTCCCTCTTGGTGCTGGTGTCACCAATCTTATGGCCCAAAAGCACGCAAGTGTCAACCACATTGTTTCTTCAAGCCGCGTTCCAACACCTCTTCAAACACCCCGGTCATTCAGTAACGGCGGCGAGTGTCTGTGTCCCTCCTCGCACTAGTCGCCTGTTCCACATCACCGATCGTTCAAATGGTCTACGTTTCTTCGTAGATACGGGAGCTGAAGTTAGTGTGCTAGCACATAAGAATCCACTTCCCGATTCTGCTTCTTTCTCCTCACAAGCCGCCAACGGCACCCGCATCGCTACATGCGGCGAACGTTCCCTCACCCTTGACCTCGGATTGCGACGTGCGTTCAAGTGGATCTTCATTTTGGCCGACGTCCAAAAACCTATCATCGGAGCAGATTTCCTGACCCATTACAATCTTTCTGTCGACGTGCGACACAAACGTCTCTTAGACACTTGCCGTAACGACCGTTTCAAATTCTTGAGCAACGAGCAGCAATGTTAGCAACCAAACCGGCAAAACTCCGAACGAATGGCTACGCAAATGTGCTGTACTATAAAAATGAAAGTAGTTACACTGAATACAAAATTACAAACCTCAACGCTTTTTGACAAACGGTGAGGTACTCCAAAAGTCAAGCAAAGCCGACATAGATCAACAGTCAACGCGTGACCGAAACCGCGTCTCAAACTCATGAGTTAAAACAATATATAGCTGCCTAAGGTTCTGGTACAAAAATAGTATAATCAAAGCGGTAAAAACGATTTGCGCGGTAAGGAAAACGGAAAATATGGATGTCTTGCAAAACTGAAATAGAGTTCAATTCCACCAGTCCAAAAAGGGCGGTCCTTTTGAATTGTTAACCGGGAAGGCAGTCATAGAAGATTGGAGGCAATTTTAAATATATATGAAGTTGCAACAC